TTAATATTTCTTTCATGCCTTATTTTTCTCTTCACATCTTCCCTATCTATCATGCAATGTAATTTTAATTTTAAGATTAAAAATACTTTTATTCATCAGAAAATTTTGAAATTTCACAAGCAAAATCTTCATAATGTCTGGATAGTTATCAAACATTTATTAAGAAAAAAACTTAAAGGCTTTAAAAGTTTTGAACGTGGAGGATATGAAACAAAATATTTTTTTTAGGTTTTTTATATATACATTTGAATGACTAAAAAATCATAAATTACTACATCAATACCATAGAATTGTACTATAATTTATCAAGCTTAGTAACTAAGCTTTATTTGGGTCTAAAAAAAATAAAAAATTTTGAGCAGACTAAAGACACAACCTACCTCATTGAAATCTTGGTTCAAAAGAAATGGTGAAAGGAACAAAAGAAAGGCTGAGAAAACCACAATGGGGACATCCTGAGCATCCAATTGGTTATTCATGTCATATATAGAAGTAAGTATATATAAGGGAGCATTTCCAAAAATTGAAAGAGGTGAGCAGGGTGCCACTGTGTTTGATTTATTACGTGAGCAATATCTCAGCAAATAGAAAAGATAAGACCTTCTTATTTTATATTCTAGCTTGTCAATGTCTGTAATTTAAGTTTCTAATTTGTATGAAACTATAGACTTAGTATTTTGACTTCACAACATACCAAATGACACACAAAAATCAATGTTTATTTGTGTTTTTAATATTTACTTTCAAATTAACAAATTGAGTAATGTACAGTTCTAAAATTTGAATTATAATCTACAGTTTGATACCAAACTTATTGACATAAATTCATTAAATAGTAGTTCAATAAAATTTTGAATGCGAGTCAACAAAAAAGATGACATGGCCTTTCACCTGTGACCCATCTCGAAAGGGCTAAATTGTTAGGATAAAAATTTAAAGATTTTCATAAATATTATGCTTATTATTGCATTTCTTAAAAATTAATTAACCATTATATTAACATTATATTATTGATTTAATATTCAGGTTGTGGCTTAATACCATGACAGTACTACATGCTTCCACATATTTATGTACACAGTGAAGTTAATTGCTAAGTGTTCAATACTCAAAATATTTTAATTTTTTTTTCTTTTGTTTGTTTGTTGAATTTTCTGTAAGGCTACTGAAGAGCTATCTGGGCTAGCCATCCCTAATTTTGAAAAGACAGACTAGTGAAAAAGCAGACAGACAACACCACTCACTAATACCTTTTGGGTTACTCTTTACCAAAAAAGAGTGGGATTGATCATCACATTATAATGCCCCCATGGCTGAAAGGGGTGAGCATGTATGGCAATGGGTTTTGATCCTGTAGCCCACAGATTGTGAGTCAAGTGCCTTAATTGCCAGGCCCTAGCAATGCTTTTATCAAGTCATGGCAACCTAAGAATTCCAAATACAACTGACTTCCAACATTTCAATTATAGCAATTTTTCAATAATAGTACTACTTCTTATATAGCAATTGGCCATAATGATGAAGAAGAAATTATATAACATAAAATAAGAGATCCTGGCCACAAGTAAGAACTTTCATTACTAATTTAATTAGATTAGAAAATAACAAATGGTTATCGTGGTCAAATATGAGAAGTTTCTTCCCTAGAGTCCATTTTCAACATTAACTGACCTGAATGAGTACCTTCCAAATTCTCTCTTCCAGAAATGTCTCTTCTTTTTCTTTCATAGAATTAATGACCTCATTCAAAGACAAGCCTTCAATCAAATCCATGACAATGTAAAGCTTTTCATCTGAAAACAATAATAAACCAGTGAACTCGTACATTTTTACAGAAACTCACATTTTAAAGTCTGGCATACATTTAGAGAATCTATACAATAAAAATCATTAATCCATGTAAGTATATCTTAGTGGTGATCAACTATGACAAAATTATATAGCAAATTTGCTAAAACTATTTTTGTTGGTAATTTAAGTCTTTTTTATGTTGTAAAATGAATTAACAATATTAAACTTTAAACAATAAATGTTAATGATACTTTCCTAATCTCAAACAATTTTATTCTTGGAAAGAAGTTTTGCACAATTTACAGATGACCAGGCTTCTTATTATTAGAATCCCTAAGCCTATCACAACTTTTAATTTAATAATGGTTTTACTTCAAAAACATCTTTCCACATTTTTCCTCTCTAGCCAATTAGCCAACATAAAATAAGATATATCTAATACAACTTTAGGTTGGAATCTCTTATGTGGGGAGAGAAAACAGATGTGGTAATTCATATTAGATCTACAAAATAGTGATGGGTAGTTTAGAGGAATTATGTGATCAGGAGTGATGTCCCAGTGAAGAAAGAACAAATTGTGAGAGGCAGTCCATGTAATGATTATCTTCACATCAATAAACTGGATCTAGCCTTAAATCAACATGCTGGATGATTTAAGAAACACGTATGGAGGTGTCCTTCACTCCTCATCTATTTATATATGGGTACATAAATAGTCATCACTCACAATGGAGAAAGGAAGAGGAAACATATTTCCAAGTTATATTTCAAGATTAGATATAGTCTCAGGCTTGTTACTCTTGACTTAGCTTTCTCATTACTGGAAAAGCTTGCATCGATGTCATGAAACTAACTAATTATGAAATCCAGTGATATGGTCACAAATTCTGGTCCTACCTTTGAGTCTGACAGACTTGATTAGACTTACACTAATATTACAGCAATTCCAGTTTCTCATACAATTTATGAATCAGTGTTTTTAAGAACATATGATAATATATGCTGGGTTAATAACTGCTCAACTGTTCAGGATATTGATTTTTGTATGTGAACTATCACAGACAAATACTGCATGCATGTAAAACAGCTATTTCTTACATGAACACTTAGTATAGTCCTAACTGAATTTCCTTATGATTTCGAGTTACACTCTGGAGGATGAAATTTAGTGTTTCCAAATTAAAGTAACAACCAACTCAGAACATACAAAAGATAAATAATGTTAACCAGACAAACTAAAATCAGAAGCAAGATTTTAACCATCTGAGATGTGGAAATACATTTACATTGCTATAGGAGAGTTCAATTTCATCCAAAAAATGGGCCTATACAATAATGCAGGTCAATACTATTGAGAGAACATTTGTTCAATAAAAATACCAACAAGTTAGTTTAACATATACAGGAGATTCTGATGATTACAATTAAAATGAAAAATTCAGTAAATGTTAAAATCAGAAAATAAACAAAATGAAGTCAAGCCAGAATATCTAGTTACCATTTTTATCTACTAAATACTTTACAAAAATTATACCAAAAAAGATAGCCATATTCGTGAAAAAAACCACAGTAAATGGAACAAACTGTCAGAAGTCTGATGACAAAGAAACTAGTTTCAACACACTTGTGCATTCTCTTCAGTCTCACACCTCAGAAGACAACATGAGACTGAAGAGGACACGTGAATGTGTCTAAACTAGTTTCTCTGATATCAGACTTCTGACAGTTTGTTCTGTTTACTGTGGTGTTTTTTTTTTTTCACTAATTGCTGTACACAATATTATGTTCTTTTATTAAAGCCATATTCATATAGAAAGAAGTCCAATCTCTGACTAAAAATCAATGTCCAACAAATTAAAGGAGAAACATTAAAAACATTAAGTAGTAACATTTTAAAAAACAAACAGTATGCATACTTGGTAAAAAAAAGACTCACTCATAAATAAAGCTAATATGGCTAGATAAGTCAAAAAATTTAACTGAAATATAAAGGTCTTTAAAAACAATGTTCCTTAATTAAACAATTTATCACAAAACAAATGTTTTTAAAAGCCATGTATAATAAGGAAAACAAAACTAAAATGGACGAAAATGAAGTGTAACAAAGTTAAATATATTGTCAAAATCCCGATATACAATAGAAAATGGGAATATATCTATTAAAGTTAAAAACAAAATGTGATAATATAAAGTTGGATAAGTAGTGTGAAAGTCAAATACAAGCACAATTCAGAAAAAAAAGAAGCTTTCAAAAAAATTGAATGGAAAACCTGAGAAACATGATAAATAATGTAAATCTTCTTAGACAAATACAATGCAAGAGGCTAAAAAACTGCAATTAGTAAATGTGAGGGAGTAAGGAGTAAGAAGTGTAATTCTTTTAAAAATGAAGGGAAACAGTTACAGTCTAAGCAGAGGTAAGATGTCATATCTAACTTGATTTCTGTTTCTAATTAAATAAAATTATACCACATAAAAGTGGAAATGAACAGATTTTAATCTTGGCATTAACTATGGTTCAACTTCACACTTCTCAAACAATCTGTAAGCAAACTATCTTTTGGAAACTTTGCATTGATAAACCTGTCATCGAATTCTTATAATTCAAAACCTTACAATATATACCTAAATTTTAAAGTTAACATTAATTTTTCAAATTTGAGCTTCACTGTCCTGTTAAGAAAACCCAAATTAACCAAATTATATGATATTTTTATTATTTATTTTGTACTTTAAACTAAAATAAAACATTAAATGCAAGATATAAAGACAACATGGTTTTTTCAAGCTAAACATTTACATTGTTAAAAATTTTTAATTCTAAAAATGTAATTTCTGTATATGTTACACTACTGATAAAAGAAGAATATTTAATTTATCAACTACAGATGAATTAATGTTTTAGTAAAATATCAATGCTTTCTTAGACAAAACTAAAATGTTATATCAAATATACAGACAATATCCTTGAAAAAATCAAATACAAAAAATTCATAAGATTTAGTGAAACAAATTTTTGCTATTGTTTTAGTTCAAAAATAAGTTAGTAACATGACATGAAAATGTTAAAATACATAAATATATAGCAGAAATGGTTGATATGGGTATTACAAAACTTTTATTTAGAAACGCAATACAAATAACAATGTTTCAACTTCCTTAGGTCATCATCAGGTTAACAATTCTTAAAGTGATTTACCTACAGAAGACACGCTTCCAGTACTAAACTAAACTGATAAATATGCACTGGGAGAATGCTCAAGCATCATATTTACCCTATTCTCTGTTGCAATACAAGTAACAATGTTTCAACTTCCTTAGGTCATCATCATCAGGTTAACAATTCTTAAAGTGATTTACCTACAGAAGACACGCTTCCAGTACTAAACTAAACTGATAAATATACACTGGGAGAATGCTCAAGCATTATATTTACCCTATTCTCTGTTGCAAGTACAATATTGGAAGATGTGATGTTTAGATGAAATGCAAATGTTGTGGATTCTGTTACAATGGGGTTCTGTTGAAGTTAAAGTGATCAGAAAGAAAGAAAGTTCAAAAATATTAATCCAATGAAAAGTGACAAAAGAACCATGAAGCAGAAGGAACAGTAAGAATAAGGCAGTTTGTTCTTCTCACTGTGTTAGATTATGTGATTTACAGACTTAGATATGATTGATCGACCAATTAAAATGATAAAATCTAGCTGAAGTACATTTACTGTTGTTTCTACTAAGTGGGCAGTGTCTTAGGTTTCATGAAAATGTTGAAAACCATTCATACAATGCAAATAAAGGTTAAAATTGAATGAACTTGAGCAAAAGTTGCCTTGCTTTGGGAAGATTTTCATCAACTCCAAAACATTGTTTTAGGACTTTTACTAGATTTTTGGAAGCAAGAGATTGAACCTAAACTTATGCAAAGTTATATACGAAAAAGTGGTCTAGGAGGTTTCTTCTTTTTCAAAGTTGCCACCAAACCTAGACATTTCTGTAGATCAACTCACAATTCAAGGGTTAAATATATCTATTAAATAACTACTAATATCCTAAGCTACAAAAATAAAGTGTTATATTAATGAGTCCATGGAACTCTTTCTTTCTTACTTGTTTAAAATTTATTCTCATGTAAAAAAACTTTGAGAAGCATAACACAGTTCTGTTCTTTACAGTCAACAAATGACAAAGTCATTTCTTATAAGAGCAACTCCTTCATAATATGCTATATTGTAATTTATTAACATCATTCGTAAATTTCAAGCTTTTATTTTCAAAAGGTGAATACATTAGTTATAAATAAAACAAGTAACAAGACTTTTTATGCAGACACTTTTTTTAAAGTAGAAACAATGTGAACAAATTATTGTTATACATTTCTTGTTGAAAAATTTTCATTTAGGTTATGTCTTAAATAACACTAGGGTTAAATAAAAAATAACAAAGAAAATTAAGAAAACTTGCTTTCAATGAAAACTTTCTGATACTGTACGATGTTTGGATGACGCAACTGTTCCCGAGCTATGTTCACCTCACTGACTATCTCTCCTACACTGGCTGAATTTTCAGTTAATGCTCTTCCTAGCCAGGGATGATGTAGACTAACCTACAATGACATGAATAAAGGTGTAAAACTTTGTATTTTGACAAGTCAAACTTATAATAACAGCTAGATTGATGAGGAACATGTGGCTTACAGCAGTCTTTCTTAGCCTGATGTCCTGATCTAAGCTCTAGTATTAAAATTAATTTTCATATTTTGACAGAAAAAACCTGTCTCACAGAACCATAAGTAGGAACCTATATGGAGATACAAAAAATTTGGTAGCAGTTTCATTGAAGTTTATTTAATACAATGGATATTATGATGTGTGAATGAGACAAGTAGAAAAACCTAGATAAAAAAGGAAATAATGCAACAGTGATAATGAATAAAAATTTTATTAAACCTGAAACTATATTAAATTACTGAAAAAAACCTCAAATGGTCCAGCTGTTGATTTTATTCATAGTTTTACTGGCATAATATATTGATTTCATATTTAGCTCTCAAATTTTATGGTGTATTTGACTTAATTATGTAACCAACATTTTACAAGATCTCTTAAAAACTTTACCTAGTTAACTATAAAAAAAACAAAAAACAGAATTGACTGCTAATTCATAGATTTAATATTATGAGTACACTTTATTAATAAATGTATCTAATGTATATAAGATAGAAAATTTATCTGACAAGGTCCTATTTTAATCCCTAGTGCTCAATAATGAGAAACACCTATAAACTTAGAAACAAATACAAGGTCCAGTTCACGCAACATAGAGAATGATCCATTTATTAATAAAGTTTGAAAAAAACCCTAAAAGTGACTCAGTGACCTATATTACTCCTCATGCAGGGTGGCATTTCTGCTAGTGTTCATAACATCACCTTTTTTGTTACGTTCTCCCTTATGGGGAATCTCTGCTCCAGGTGTTGGTAGTCAATGGAGGTGCAAGAGCAAAGCATTCAGTTACCCTCCTTATACAGTAGAAATTAAATTTTTTCAGGAAGCATACAAAACAAAAAATTTAAAAATATATAACAAATTTCCAAAAAATGTGAAAATTAGGCCACTGTGATATATAAGTGAGCCTCAAGATCAGTGAACTTCAAGTTCTTTCTCAGAAAGTTTGAAAACTAAAAATACTTTTAGAAAATTAGTTTTAAATTTCTAAAAGTTTATGTAATAAAAAGTTAAAGAAAGGATAGTTAAAACTATGATGACTCAAAAGTGATTAAAAAGTGAACTTGAGAAAAAAATGGCTGTAGGTAGGCACAATCTACTCTGATGTTCAATACTGGAAAAGAAAAGCAGAAAAAGATGAAGGTTTGGAAAATCAAAAGGGTGTTATTCTCAAGTTCTTGCAATACGACAAGTAAAAGAAAGTTAAGAGACTCCCACTAAAATTAGTCAATAAGTTACCAATGCTGAAATTAGTGAAAAGAACAGTGCTATGAATTCTTGTCACACTGTCAGAAACTGAAAAAACTACATCTTCTCAAAGACACTTCTAAAGACGAAAAACAGACAGAAATAAAAAAACGTATATATAATTAGGATAATCCAGTTAAATGGTAAAAAAATTGACTCAAACTTGTGAAAGTTGTTGGTCAAAACAAGTCCAGTACATGTCCAGACATTTGCCTTTCATAAAGAAAATACTAAGGTTCAGTATCTGGTCATAGAGAATTCAGCATCTAGCTTTTGCTGCAAGAATTTTGGTACATCTAACTTTTCACCATCATCAAATAAAGCAAAGCACTAGAAAAATCCGTAAGCACTTTTAAGCTGAAATGAAAATCCAGCAAATCATCTGGAGGCATTTCAACAGTGGAAAGAATTAAACCCTCTCTACTGAAAATTAACTATACAATCAAAATGAAAAATCTGAACCTCATTAAACAATAGATTAAGCACTGGCAAGCTGTACATAAAAAACTTAGTGCCTTAATAAGAGTTCATAGAACTCAAAATACACTGAAACATTTTTTTAACGAACTAATCTGTCTGCATTCTAAAGATGTCCAGGTTGTCAAATTAGTCACTTTGAATACAAATAATACTAATAATAGTACGCTTTATTGATTAATAAATATAAGGGTTGAAAGTAATAAGGGTGGTAAGCATGCAAATTGTAAACAAAAAACAGCTGTACATACAATAAAATAAATATCATTTCACTATTCTGTATCTCATCAATAATTACACAAATTGTATAATCAAAGTGCCATAAAACATCATTTTGTTCAAATCATCTACATAGTTACTTACAGGATGCAAAATACAGAGTAAGATTCACTTCCATCACACCCTTGATGACAAATGATAGAAATGATGTCTTCACCTGCCAACTCTTGACCAGTTGGTTCTACTGAGTTGACATAACATCATTAGTATTCAAGGTTAAGGTATGAATTCCATAAGCAATATCATTAAAGAGTTCCAACATCTCAACAGGCTCAACAGTTTTGCTGTGTGGCAAAATCTTAATATAATTGTAGCAATTTTTGATAGTTTCCAAGGTAATACTGGACCAGTCAAAACCCACCACTTGTAAGGCCTCACAGACATTTACAGCTTGTTGATCATTATTGCCAGTACATTCAACATATTTTTTAATCAGCTGAGATTAGTAGTGAGCATTGAATGATCTGATTATAACAACATCTATAGGCTGTGTCACTGATGTGATGTATGGTGGCAAGTGGTACAGTATGACTAGTAGCAGCATCCACAGGGAGAATGATTTTTCTCTTCTTTGAATACATCTTTCTGTTCAAATCCTCTGGTCACTCTAACATAATACAGACTTTCTTATTCCACCTGTATCTTGCATGGATAGCAGGTAACCAAATGCAAGTAAAAAATCATTCTCAGAAAAACTGGTACACATTAATTAGCACAAGTGTTTTAGGTCAATAATTATCACCTCATTTCTTGCTTTGATGTATTTCTACTTAACTCTCATAGAATCTTGTATGGATTACTAAATCCTTTGTCTACAGAAAGTGCATGTTTGTGATAAGAAATAACAATTTGGATTTGGAATGAAAATATATAGATTATTAGTTAAATTTCCAATTGTGAAGATTTGTCTATATGAAAATTCATCCAGATTGTGCATAATCCTGATTTCTGATGTCCAGACTATTGAAGATTCACTGTATTGTGCTTTATAAAAGTTGTGAGAATATTTTCACATCCATAATGGGAAAGAATACCTCAGAAGAATTACCATATAAGAAGTCCATAAGCATTAAACGGGAAAGGATACTATAAGGAGCTGATTCAACTGCTATCAACAAGATCCAAGCTCATAAATTTCCTGCTGCTAAAAATACAAAATATCACTTGAGTGTTCTCCTGACATAAGACACACAGGACAGATGACAATGATCATTTGGTTGTCACAGTAACTGAAGCATCTATGACAGCAGATGGATCGTATCAATAAATTTTTCCTCATATTTTTGCACTGAAATGCACAAACAGTGCTTATATGATTGAAGCAAATATGAAAGTAAAAACACCAGACTTAAAAAAATGAGAAACTTATATCCAAGAGCTTTTTTCTTCAATACAAATTAATACGCTTTGAATCTTATGCTTAATGGTGCAGCCAACTGTTGAATTTGGGAAATGACCTTCTTTGACTAAGTTCAAAGCATATAACATCAGCTGTTCTGCTTCAATTCATACTTAGAAAATGCAAGCTGAATACTCATCATATGATGGGAAATAATGATTAATTTTTCTTCTCAAAATCATATCTAAATAAATGTTTTATGAATTTGTTCTAAAATTAATTATAAGCTAGTAACAATATATGTATGCAGAATGACTAACCTATTTATGGTATTTCATGAAAACAACATCTGTTATGTATATTTGGTCATCCCCTTTAAGTATTGCTTCATTAGCATTTTGATTTCTGTATGCTTTTATGTACAAATGTTCTTCTTGATAATTCCTTATAGATTGAAACATGCACAAAAACTGATTCTTAATGACATATTCCTACTTGGAACTGTATGGCCCTGTAAATTATTAATTGTGATGGTTAAGGCAGCAAATTTTATTATGAATTTCAGGGTCTTTTCTTTGGATTGTCTTCCTGGATTTGGCTTTGTTAGCCTGCTGAGCTGAAAAAGCACACTTTAGTTTGGGCTTCTTCAAAACTGAAATGTGTGATGGGTAAAACATTTGGATTATTATAGAGTTGTAGCCAAGGGTTCTGACTGGACAAAATTTGGTGATGTTGCATCAATGTGTCTCCTTGACAACCAAGCAAACATAATAGGGAATTTCAGTTAATGATTATAATGTTTGTGCAGCAGCAATACCAAGTGTGGGGCATACATATACCCAATTTTATTACTCATCACGATCTCTATCAACCTACTCTCAAATCTAATTATATGCCCAAAATAGTACATCATCCATTTTATGTATATATGGCTGGAAGAACTTAAAAAAAAAGCAAACATGCTTGTCGCTGCAGAAAGTGTCATCGTTTCATGCAAGTTGTGTGTGTCGATCAGTACTGCAACAGCCAAGATATTGGCATGACAGACCGATGGCTTTATCTTTATATATAGATATTCAGATTACTTTAACATATTTCCCAGGTACTTCTGAAGCAACTGAGTAACATAAAATGTAAAACATGCTGTTTGTGCACTTTGATACCAGATGGAAGAAGTACAGAATACTCTGGTGTCTATTTCAGAAGTCAGCACTATCACATGAGCCAGTAAGGTCACATTCCAAAGAAAAGCAATTGTTATCAAGTTGCTAAGTTACAAATCTAGAGATGATTATTTCTTTATATGACATGACGTACTTTTAGATCAATCTGTAAAAGGCAGTGATCTTGACACATCTCAAGATATTCCACAACTAAAAAAAATTCCTTTGCAAAAGCATTGATGGGTGCAATGCAGCTTGTAGAAGAATCAAAAACAAATGGATTTTTTTTTCCAAAAAAAACAACAACAACCTGCTTACAAAAAAGGTGATCTAGTTTTCATATAAATCTATCTTTACTGTACTGCATTGCTAA